TAAGATAGACTTGACGTACCATTTAGCTGGCTGTACAACTCTGACTATTATCATGCCCTTAAACTCAGAACAAAAGCTTTACTCTTTATTTTTACTTTCATCTGATTCTTTATCAATCTCCATTTTTTCAACCTTTTCAGATTCCACATCTCCAGGTTTTTCAGCATCTGAATTTCCTTTGGAAGTGGATAAAGGACTTTGGTTGCTACTGCTAGTTTTCATCCATGAAAATTGCAAGTTATGACCATTCCAGCTTTTACCACTCAAATACGCCTTCTCAGCTGCATGTCGTGTCGTGAAATATACACGAGCTCTTCCATTATCATTATTTCCACCATCACTATCATCCAACTCCACCTTCGACAAATCACCAAATTGAGAAAAATGTTCCTTCAAAACTGCAACCTAAACAAACAAACCAAACCATTAACAAAATGTCTTTCGTTTATTAACCTTCCATTTTATATTATATAAAAACTTACATTGGCAAGATCATTTGGTAGAGTTGAAACAATCTTAAAAGCAGTGGGACGATTGTCCAGTTTGAACCGATTCGTGACAATCGATGGATTAATCGGCATCAATGGTCGTAATGATGGTTTCAAAACTGGTGTTTCTTGCATTGCAATTGCATTGGTTGATTTACAACTTTGTTGAACACCAGACTCCATAGATTTGCTACCATTATCGATTACTTTTTCAGGATCAATGGAACTTGAAGTTGCAGCTTTTTCAGAATTATCAGCTACACTTCCAAGTTTCTGTCTTTTCGCCACCTGTTCACCTTCCGTCTCCCCTTTTACACCTGTAGCCTGAAAACAACAAAATAACCATGTTACTATTTAGATTATATATATACATCGCTTCATAAGATAATGCATATTGCATAACAAGATAAAATAAGTGTTTACTTGTTTTGCAAGTTTGTCTAACTTGCGCCTAAAGTCGTTCCTTTTCCGATCTAGCATTTCTTGCTTTTTGCGAAGCTCTTCTTTCAAAACCTCTAAATTCTCCAGTTTCTTTTGTGAAGGTGGAGGGACTTTTGGGGTGTTGATGATCACGGGCTTTGGGAGATCAGAAGAAGGAGCAGATGTCCCATTATGTGATGTTGATGAAACTGGTGGGCCACGTGGAGGTATTGGAACATTATTACTATTATTATACCCATTAATAGGAACATTATCACGATTAGCCCAAAATAACCTAATGAACCTATTACCCATCACAGCATCAGGTGCTGTTAAAGCAGCTTCTGCTTCTTCTCCTTTGGAAAACTGGACAAAAGCACGATCCGTGTTTATAGGAATGTGGATATCGATAACTTCCCCAAATTTATGAAAATGTGAAAATAGGGATTCCTTTTTGTTTTGTTGGAGGGGTATACCACTCACAAATACTGTTCGTTGTGCTTTCTGTGTAGGCTTTCTGACACTTTTCCCATTTATGTCATTTCGTTTATGGAGGTGAACAACTTGACCACTATTTGATGGGTCCTGTTTTTCAATTGTCTCAAAATTTGAAGGGATTGGTTTTGAGATTATATTCTCTTTGGTTTCTTTGTTTTTTGTATTTGTAATCTTGGATACCATATGTTCATCAGACCCAGATGGGCCAGGATCCAATAAAGGCCTGTTTTCCTTCACATTGGATTGATTTATTGATTGTAATGCAGGTGATGTTTGAGAATCGTTACCCCATAGAGGCTGATCTGGATCATAAAAATCAGCTCCAACACTTGGAGAAGGATCAATTAATGCATCATTTAACTCATGTGCATTAGCATTGCCACTAACTCCACTTTTCCTAGTCTTGCCACGTGAAGCTTTGAATGAGGTTGTTGGGGCACCTGGGGCAGGCAAAGCTCCTGCCCCAGATACTGCTCCGGTCAGATTTGCATTTTGAAGCGATACAGGGAGATTAAACTGTGAAAGGCTCTGCAAGTTGTAAAATAACAGGAGTTTCAGATAAATGTAAAGACAATAATAGTATGCTATCAGATGAGTTTGAATAAAGAACACATCATAGTATCATACATTCATACCTGAACGTCTTCAACAACAATACGATTAACCCCATGTTCCATTGGGCACATATCACCTCTTAGGCAAAAACCCTGTTCTTCAAAGTCTCTACACCGCTGACGTGGCAGTCCCATTCCCATGTTCATGGAGGGATTAATGGCTCTATATGTTCCTTGTAAACCAAGGGTATGTAGTGTATCAATACCACCATTTGGTATACCTGGAACCAAACCAAATGCACTCCAAGATGGACCATATGCATTTGAAACACTTGGTAAACCCCTTCCACCAAACATACCAGGGGGTACAGATCCTTGTTGAGCTATTCTAGAAGCAATATCAACAGAGTTGAATCTTGGATCATGTTGATTCCAGTTTCCTCTACCCCTCATTGGACCAGGATCCCTAATTCTCTGGTTCAAATCCAAAGGTCCTTGTCGTCTTTTGTCCATAGGGTTGAAATTGTAATTTTTCCATGTGTCATTGGAATGGGAACCTTGTTCCCTGTAAATATGCCCATTTTCAAAAGGTTTGTTTCCTCTTCTGTATGGCTTATTAGTAAATACTTGTTCCATGGAATCTCTTTCCAGTGACTGAGACCTTGCATCATCTCTTCTACGATGCTTATGGTTGCGATCATCATCATCATCATCACTGATTTCTTTCTCATTAGGATTGCTTTCGGATACAGAAGGTGAGCGACCTGGTTCATGGACTGGAACTTTAAGCTCCATTGAGTGCTTCTGATTGGTTATTTTATGGTTGAGAAGATGTAACAGTTACTAGTGGAACCAATGAACCCACTGGATCAACCTGAAATATTCTCAGAAAGGATGTCTCCTGTAAGTAACATTAAAACCTTTACCTTTATGTTTTACTTTAATTGATATGCTCAGAAAAGATAAAATTCAAAATAACAATGTTATTTGCTTCTTCTGAAAGACTGCATCAGTCATCAGATGCTGTTATTCAGAATTGAGACTAGCAAAAGTTCTCCAAATCCCTAGAAGATTCTATTGTTAGCTTTAGCAGCAATTATTAGTTTATTACCCATCAATGATGGCTGAATCATACATTCAGAATACAAAAAATGGTTATTAAATGCTTAGAGGGAGGATGATAGATAGAACAACACTCTTAATGGAAAAATGAACATGAACCGAATATGAGAACTTTCAGTTTCTTCTTCACTGTCCACAAGTTTATTTCCCCAACGTTAAACATGAAATTGGAAACTGCAGACTGGTTCTCGAGGAAATTGACCCCCAACTGCTGTGCCGCAAAACTCTATAGACATCATCTATCTAAAATATAACTCTTAGCACAATCTACATTCAATTTTTGCAGTCTAGGAGATGCTGAGTGATCCTATACAGACAATACAAAATGAACTACATAGTATCTTATGCAGCAATTTCATCAATAGGATCAAATCAATAGATCGCATAGAGTTCCAAATCAATCCACAATCATAAATGATATGCCCTAACAATTGTACAAATACAACAAAATTTTATAAGAACATAAGAAACTAACCTCAGCTAACGATTTCCCTTATTAGGGTTACGATTATTTGTGTGCCAATAATATATTATAGCGTCCCGAGCTTCGGTTCGTCTAATTAATGGCGGAGCTTACGTTTTACTTGTGTACGTATACGTGATTGTCTGTGTATATCATCTTCTCCCTCCCCCCTCTCTCTCTGTAAATTCTGTAGTTTCTCTCTCCAGGACGCAGGAAAGGTTTTACAGATAGGAAAAGAAGAAAAGGCTATGGTAAAAATTTAACAACTCAAACCCTCGTACTTTGCAATATGAACGCTGTTGATTTAGAATTTGGCAAATTTAATATTTCGACCCTCCTACTTTGTAATATGAATGTTGGTTGCAAATTTTCACCGTAGATTGGACTCCTAAGGTTGCGTCTAGTTACAGAAACACAATTTTTATTTTTCGTTTTCCATTTTCTGTTTTCGGTTTTCATTTTTCGTTTTCAGTTTTCATTGGAAACTTTAGAAAACGTGTTTACTTAAAACTTATTCTTTTTTTCTTTTTCGGTTTTAGAAAATTAGAAAACATGTTTAAATGGTGGTGGGGCGGTAATAGTTGCGGTGGTGGTGATGGCGGAAGTGGTGGTTGTGGTGGTGGTGATGGCGGCGATGACGGTGATGGGGTAGTTGTGGTGGTGATCTTAGGTCGGTGATTGCAGAAGTGGTGGTAGGTATGTGGGAGGGTGTGTTTGTGGGGTGGGGCTTATGAGTGGGTGGTGTGCATGGATAGTGTAACGTCCCATTTTCACAAACAAATTTTTCATTTTTAATTAAAGCAAAACACCATTTTCATAAAACTCAAGTTAAGAAAACTCATTTGTTCGAAATACAATTATATGAAAACTGGAATAATATAAGTTAAATGTGAAACTCCAATGTTTATGATAAATGTGTATAGCCACGCCTTTGCCTTCCTACAATCATCGGAAGTACTTGAAAAAACATTAAATCTACAACTGCAAGCCAAAGCTTAATGATTTCCCCCAAAATATCACACACCACAATATACATATAAGCATAAATGTATCGACCTTCAGTCCATAACTGGTCTACCCCTCACACATGCACACATCAGCCTTCAGTCCATGACTGACCTGCCTCTCACATATATACCATAAACCGGTACCCCTTGGCCTTCAGCATCACATGGCCCGCCTGAGTATCTTGGCATACCGCGCACAACAGGACTGCCTCAACTCCTCCCACTCACACAAAACAACATATAAGCAAACAAATACACAATCACATAATACAAGCAACTAGCCAAACTAGTCTACCAGCCTAGCATGTCCACTTTGCACAAGGAAACACTATTATATTCTATATTGTAAGAATGGATCTCCAAATAAATGCATAGTTTTATTGTAACACCCTGTTCCGAATCCTTTCCCAATGCGGGGTCGTGACCCGAAGACTGATTATCATAAGGCTTAGGGCCTTTGTGAAATGGAGATTTAGACCCATTTGGGGGTGGATAAGGTAGGATAGATGATATGGGAATTCAATTTGTGTTTTGGATCCCAAGGGTATAACCGTAAAGTGGCAGTCAGGCTTTTTATGAATTTTGGATTTTTGTTCGAAAAGTTTTAAGGCAAGGATGAGTTGATAGAAGTGTAGAGCTTCTCGTTACCTTTTCGTGGATATAAGGATCTTCGGAAACGAACTTATAATGAAGAAGATATGGCCTTCAGAAGTTTGGTGAATTTAGGGCTAACCGAGTACGTGGGGCGTACACAAGTGTATCATGGCGTACTAGTGTAAAGGTGAGTAGGTGGGGCGTACATTGGTGTACGATGGGCGTACTAAGGAAATGATTGTAGAACCTTAAAGGAGTACGATGGGCGTACCAGAAGTACGTTGGGCGTACTCCAGTCAGTCTCAAACCCTAATTTAGGGTCTTGGACCCTATTTAAGCACCTTAACTCACCACCAAACCCTATTATATTCAACCTCCATCCTCTTAAACCCAAAAATGAAGCCCCTAGCCTCCGTTGTTGTTGTTCTTGAGTTCTTGGTGGTATTTCATGCATTTTGGTGCTCACAGAAGAAGAAGGGGGAGGAGGAGCCTCTCGAAGAAGTGTGGGATTTCTTGGAGCTTGTGGATCCAGGCTTTGTACATCTTGATCTATCTTCTCAAGGTATAAAGCTTCAAACTTGATGACTCTATTCATAGATCTTGTTATGGCATAATTGCATAAGCATTTGTCCCCAAAGTTTGGATCTTTGTGAGTATGGAGTACTCCAAAGCATATAAATTGTCCTTTTTGAGGTCTTGAAGTGTATTGAGCCATAAAAATGGTTGCTTGATTAATTGGATGATATTTTATGGTGCTAGCGCGCGGGGATTTCCGGATCAGCGATCCGAGCATTTGTCTGAGATATTTAGTCGCTTCAGGTGAGTTTTCCTCACTATACTTAAGGGTCAAAGGCACCACGGCCGACCCATTGGTTTGATATCCTGCTATTCACTGTTATGCTGAGTATGGAATAGATTTGCATGGTTATATGCTAGCTGCCAATGTGCTAGTCTGGTAGATCTGTAGGACTACCTGAGATTATGTTTGCATGATTATCTGTATATGTTTGTTATCTGTTATATGTCGACATATTGTGTTGGGTTGAGGTTGTACTGCTTCGTGTTGTAGCCAACAAACCCTGGAGCATTCCAGATATGAGCTGAGGGTTGGGTAGGGCATGCCAGACTCATACTGAGGGATCAGGTGCATTCCAGATACGAGTTGAGGACCGGGTGGTATGCCAGACTCGTATTGAGCGCTTGAGGGTATTTCAGTCCGATGAGAGATTAGGTCAGGGAGCAAGCCAGACATAAGTTGTGGGCCCTGAGGGCAAGCCAAATTTATGTTGTGGGCTTAGGAGCAAGCCAGATATGAGATGTGGGCCCGATAGGCAAGCCAAACTCATATTGTGGGCTTAGGGGTAATCCAGTCTTTTAGCTGTGGACCCAATACATGTTGTTATTTGAATATGTTATATGTTCGTGTGTTGGTACTTTGGGGGAACTCACTAAGCTTCGTGCTTACATTTTTTGTTTATGGATTCAGGTTCTTCAGAGGACCGTGTCAAGGCGAAGGGATGAACGTACACATCCTTGGTTTTACTACTGATTGGATCTTGGGAGACTCTGATTTAAATCATGTTTTGGAAACAAAGGTTTTGTAAACACTTTTATTAGTAAAGGGGTTGTTTTGAAAAGTTTAAACTGGTTGTGATTTTTATGGAAGTTACATGTATGTAATCATAGATAAGATAGACATTCGAACAGATAATCCTACTCTAAAGCCACAACCAAACAAGGAACATGCAAGAAAGTGTAGATCAAGAGTTATCATGCTATCTTACATAATTACATACAACCCATACGACATTTACCATAATGATCACTACCTTAACGATACCGTAATACATGGTATAATGAGGAAACTCACCTGAATCGAAGACCCAAGGAAACACAGCGACACACTCACTCCTTGCACTGAGCAATCCTGCAAACCAACTAGCACCAAACAGAGATCGATCCTTAATCAATAACCCAAGTCCTTCAAGTTTCACCCAAATTTAAAAATGGTCAAGACTCAACGGTTAATGGTCAAAAAAAGTCAACGATCACCATGACTTAGATACCTCTTGGCCACGTCGTGGGCATGACAAGATAAAATAGTCGACATGATGGACACCACCACGTTGTGGCAAGCCCTTGGCCACGTCGTGGTTTCTGGCAGATTGTCTTTTCTTCATTAAGATATTAATCCTTACCGATTGAAGCCCATAACTTCATATATGGACCTTCTCAATGACTTAATGGATAAGTTTCCAACTTTATCCTTTAGGGATTCATCACAAGGCAATATCTACAACCCTAATTCCCTTAAGCCCTTAATAAAACCAAAACTTGTGCATAAACACAAGGTAACTCCAAACATGACTCCTTTCTCATTTCTTAAAAACCTAATGACCATTAGAGAGCCATTAACAAGCTCTGTAGTAAACTCTAAAAGCATCCAAGAAAGGGACCAAAATCCTCTAAAATGAACTCAAACTTGAAACAAGAAGGATAAGGGTCAAGGTATGAAATTTATACCTTAAATAACTCAAAATCAGAAGATGATGATGGATACAAGCCAACTCCTTGCTTCCTTGCACTAATACGAGTTTCTTTCTTCCTCAAGCTTTACCAAAATCCAAAGAATAAGCTCTAATTCAAGAAAACAAGCTCTCAAACATGCATAGAAGCTAGGGTTTCATGTTGGAGGTTTGGAGGTTGAGGAGAATGCCCTAATATATGAGTTAAAACCCTTTAAATATGGAGAAACCCCTAAAAAGCATGGATTTGGGCTGCAACAGCTTCCACGTTGAGACCTACCTCTTGTCACGTCGTGGCGGCCATCAACTACAAGTTCCTTATAATCGGCATGACATGTCATGGTCCTCCATACACCATGTCGTGGCATAAGGTTTTTCCCAAAACCTTATCTTTTATCCCTTTAAGTCATGCACTAATTCATTCTAGAAATCGGGTGTTACAGATAGGTTTGCTTATCAAGACCTTTTAGATAATGTATAATCGTGCCTTCTTGAGTGTTTGGTTGCATTAGCAGATCGTTATCTCGGTCCAATAAAAAAATTCGTCAAATGAGATGTAAGTTCGATATTATTTCCATTCCTCCTCGTCAACAAATCTCCCGAAACTGCCATCGGAGAAACCGGTTTCCTTCAAACGAAAATAAATGTTTGGAATCTTATTGATAATTAGAAATCACTGATCGCATGGGCTAAAAAATCCTTAAAACGAAATCCAACGATCGATCGAAGGGTGAAAACAAAGACAAACTAGATGGATCTAATTTGTCCAAATCTTTAATAAAAAAGAGAAAGGGGGGATAGAAGAAGGAGAAGTCGACGCCATTGAAGGAGAAGTGGGTCAAAGGAAGTAGGGTCGAAGGAAAATGTCTATGTGGCAAAGAATAATGAGGTTAACTTTTAAAATTTCCAAAATGACTATTTCAATCACAAATGACTATTTAAACCCAATAAAAGTAATTTTATACCCTCATAAAATCATAAAATAATTTTGGCCCCATAAAGCATAAATAATTTTGAGAAATATTTAAACGAAAACCCAAAAATTCCATAACTAAAAATTCAATGAAAACCCTTCTATTATAGATTCTTAAAATATAAATAATAATCCCATAACAAACGTTATATCCTACTTTTAATAAAAGAGTAGTTTTAGTGTCACATGTCATCTTTTCTCAGGCCCATTTTAACAAAGTGAAATATCATTTTTGCACTTCTCGTCTCCCGGTGCATTAAATACAGTATTGATTGTCTTCCTTATTTTATGTCATGTTTTTAAATTTGAATCCCCATTAAAATATGTTTAAATCATGATGGACAATTATTCTTGAACAAG